GGATGGCGACAGCGACGTGTGTAGGTCAAGAGCAGAGGAATGCAGTTGCACAGTCGCGCTGCTTTCCTGCGGCCGCGCGGAGAAGACAATTGCGCAACTGGGGCCGCGCGCCGCCGCCGCCGCCCGAAAGCTCTCGACGCGGGCTTCCCTAGTGACATCTCAAGCAATTACGGCGAACTTGAAAAGAATATTGGAAAGATCTGAATTCTAGAGATCCGAAATATTTGAGAATTTCTCACGTTCTTACAATTTTATCGATTTTCGCGAACGCACATTCTCGCAATTTAATTAACCCTAAAAACAAGGGGAATATTTAAGAATCCAATCATTTTATAGATGCTGTATCGAAGTAAAATATTCAGATCCCTCGAAGCCGGTGATAAATTTAGCTGCGCAAACTACGAGTATGTAAACTGCCGTTCAGCGGAATTTTCGCCTCTGTGTAGGAAAGGGGGGGTGGAATTGAATTTGTTTTAGATACTTCCTAATATAAAACATTAGATCTATTTTAAATTATTAGCAAATATGAAAACTGCATAAGTCTCATTTCATGACAGATAGGTAGCATTAAGATTTAATTTCAACGAAATACCTCAAGGTTTATTATGTGCATCTAATTAAAACGAACATTAATTTTCAAGTCAACTTTTTAATTAATGTGCAATCTATTCGAACTTCAAAAAATAATTATAGTTCATTCTGCTATCGTAACAAATGAGGAAATGAGACCATTAACAAGTTTATCGTACAACAGAGCACTTTTAAAAAAGATAAATAAAAACGGCGGCAGCGTTCAAAATTACAATAAGTTTAATTTGTTCAAAGAATTGTCGATCCGACTGGAATTCCAACCCCGGTCTCCTGATTTAGACCCAGTCGCTCTAACCACTAAGTTACCGAGACAGCCAATTCCGTAATTACGTTGTTAGGCTTGATATATTGCCCGGTATGACGAGAGAAAGACTGCCATTGTGCCATTTCTGAAGCGTGAGCGCGGGGGCAGGTGCCTCACGCGCTGTGTTTGTGCTCTGTTTGCGCGGCGCGGCGGCTGGCGCGGGGAAAGCGAATGGGGAGGGGCCAGGCGACCCACATTTCCGGGAGGGGCTTCCCTCCAAAATAAACTCTAGGTCACTGGAAGGTTCTTCTGTGACGTCGTTTATAAACTTTTTCCCCCTGGAGAAGTTTCGTTTATTTCTGATGGAATGATTGTTAGTGATTCCGAGGGCGTCAACTCATAATGTCATTAGTCTCGTAAGTATAGTGCATTATTTTCCTCGGGAGCTGGCGCAGGTCTTCCCGCTGGACGACGAGATCCAGCTCCGACCTACTCTCGGCTAGCGGAGTTTTCTCCAAGCAGGTATCTCCCACACTGCCCCGGTCGGACAATTGGTAGTGTAGAACATGTTAGTGTAAGTGTATGTATGTAAGGGGTGACGATAGGACAAGGAAAAGGAAGGAAAGAACGCTCCCGGTCCATGGCCCGTTTGTTAGGGTACTACTCCGGCATTCGCCTTGTGTTGATTGAAGAAACTAAAGATCAGAGGAGCCGGCCGCTAGAATTCTCCTGCAGACACATACATTCATTCATTCTTGGATTTTGAGCTTACAAGTTTCGATATTGAAAACTGTTGCAGGACCGTTACTTAATTTACGCACAAATGCTCTCAATAGCGGTGTTGAAGAGCCAGGATATTTGAAGCAAACTATGGAATTCCAGAAAGGCCGCTCTATTAGAAACAAAGAACATTATGCTTGTTTTTTCGTATAATATTTCTCTTTACAAGTACATGATCATTAAGAGCAATGTAGAAACTAAATTTTAAATTTAATACGTATACGAATTGCATTATAAAGAATACGATCAAGTCTATGTCTGCAATAGTTTCATTTTAAAAGAGCAACTTCTTTATAATGTTATACTTTATTGCATGCCTGAAAGTTTGCAATTTGCTCCTACATCGCATGTTTTCTAAAAGCCTTAACGATCGATTGATTAATACTTTCGTGCTCCAGGTGCCTCAATTGATATGGCGAGTACGTGAATGGTTTAACGATTAGAATTCAGAAATCTTAGTATCTTATTGCGTGATATTACGCACCACAACTGGCCTCTGGCTAAGGTTAGAAACCATTCTTCTCTTAGCGACTAGCAAAACATTATGATCGTAGTGCATATACCAACATATTATTAAAAATATTTATTTTCTGCATTTATGTTATATTAATCTCTACCAAACTTTGCAAGGACACTGCGACATTCCTGAAGAAGAACATGTGCAAATTGCGTATTTACTCATACACTACTTTTTGTGGTACGTGTGGTATGTGTGTTTAATGTTGTTGAATTCCATTTTATTAGTATCGATTTGCCTTTCATGGCTATCAAGTCCTCACATTTTACTTGGCATTCAATGTAAACATTGTTTCTCAAATATTCTTGAATGGAAAGTTTGGTCGTTTACCTCCCTTTGACTCACTTCCTCTGACCACTTGACCAGACAGCGAACACAAACTAGTGATGCTACAACAACACAAACGTTCTGGCATCATCTCTAAATTATTCAAAAAGTTTTACATGACCTTTTGAATATTTGAATAGAATGTTTTAAAATAGTGTTTATTTATCACATAAATCTGCAAGTTTTGTAATGCTACATGTCTGCAGTCTTCACACAAAATACAGAGTTTACTGAAAATGCGAATGGCGCCAATTTTTCCGTTCTTTGATATGAGCGTGGAGAAAAATTTAAAGAATATTTTGAGAAAATAATTGTTTAAATATTGCCTAAATATCACGCAAAATTACGGGAAAACGGTTCCTATTTTCGAAAAATTACCTTATTGGCTATAATAATCGTGGCCTTAATCAAAGATCTTTCAACAACATATTTTAATATAATTAGCGAAATAAATTAACGAAAATGACGAAGAGAAAGATTTTGAAACAATCTCCCTTCATTATTACGATGTAGAAAAACGTATTTTGATTCGTAACGGATTTTGACTACACAATGTTTTACAGTAATTAATATACTATACATAGGAACAAGATCTATCCAACTTTTCTGTATCAGGAACTTTTCTGCATTAAATGATTTTCTGTCGAAAATTTGGCGTTTCCGGCGCACACTTAAAATACTTTATTTTCTTAGGAAGAAAGGGTGAAAAAATAAAAAAAAGTAATTCGTGTACGTTTTGAAAAATTGAAAGAAAACACTAGATTATCACAATTCCGGCTCTTCCATGCACATATGGGTGTCGAATTTGCACTAGTGCCTGACTGTAGCAAAGATTTCAAATAAGTTTAAATAACTTGATTTCATATACGTAATACTTTATTTATATTCAAAGATGCTATTCATTAATTTTTATAAAAAATGTTTTGCTTGTTCAAAATTGTATTTATTAGATATGGCTTTTTGAGAATTTGTTTTCAATAATTTGAAGATTTTGTATTTTAGATTTAACTGTGTTTGACCATACTGGACTAGCTTATGTTATAGTAGATCTAATAATTGACGTGCATATTAATTTAGGAGTATTAATACGAAGAGCTGAGATATTATTTATAAGAGAATTAAGTTTGTGTATTTTAATAGTGGTTTTTGTATAACATTAATATGAGTATTCCAGTGCAGTTTGGTGTCCAATTGGAGACCTAAATATTTAAAAGATGAATAGGAAGAAAGCCGACTATTATGAATGAGGAGAGGAACCATTGGCCTACACAACTTAAATATTTGGGCTTCGCACTTATCCGTATTAGTTTCTATTCTCTAATTGTCGGCCCAAACTGTACAACGATTAAGATCTTTTGAAATTTATTTCTTGCAAGGTGAATATTAGCGTGTGAATCATATCTGAGTGCTGATCATATGCAAAGATGCCTAAATTAGAAGAAACGAATTTTGAAATGTCGGATAGATAAATAATGAATATTCTATATTTATTTGATGAGAAGGAGATGAACCTTGAGGGAGCCCGTCGACATTTCTGCTTGTCTGATTAGAAGCAGGATATTATTTGACCACTGATGATTAGCGATTAGCAGCGTTACGTTTAGTGAAGAAATACCTCAAAATGGACTTCATGCCATGTTATACAAATCATTTGGTATTATACGTAAAAAAATATAAAGAAAAAATGAATACTGTTATTGAGGAAATGTTTCTCATTTCCCATATTTCACTGACAATAGTGAAACACGCGAAAACTACTAATATTTTCAAAAAGGGTCATAACATAAATGGAAGAAATAATCGTGGAGAACAAATTTCAAGAAAACAAACACTTCCTTCTATAATGTAGTTGTTCGAGGAGGGTAAAAAAGTCAATCTTTTGCTTCTTTTTGAATATTCGAATAGAGATAACAGTGAAAACGGTCCTGATCTATCTTTATATGTCTATTTCAGTCTATTTCTACAAAAATTGTGAAAATTCAATGAATTCTTTCTAAAATCGTAGGCATTCACGTCAGGCCAGATGGATCGGGGAATATTCACTTCGGCAAAAATCCTACGAATAATTTAGGCGCTGGTGTCGATTGCACATAGAAGGACGGATATTTTCAAACAAACATCTTCTTAGATGCAGTAGAAAACGTAATTGTGGCTACGCTACGTATTCGAGGCAGTAATTTACTAAACACATGAGCAAGAAAAATCACCCTGTACTGTATTAGGAATCAATAACACGAGTTTTTCTATCGGAAACAACACTCTTTTCGGCCGGAATAGAGAAAGCTATGTAATCCCGAAATACCTACACAATAAAGAAAAAAATCAAAAACAAATTTTTTTTCAAGAATTACACTATTTTTTTTCTTCATCTACTTTGTTCAAATTCAAACAAATCTTTTAATTATATGGTGAGAGTTTGATTTCCCTTAAAAGAGAAATTTGTTTAGGATCTCATAATGTATTGGAACTTTGAGAGTTACAAGAATGTGAAAAAAAAATCGTTGAAATGATGTCTAAATGTCCCTCTTGTTCTTTGCAGCGGCCTCCGTGTTCGGAGCTGCGCTGACGGAGCACACCAACGCTCGCGACGACAGGATCAGTGACGTGGTCAAGAGGTTTGCTCCGTATGGTGGAGCATCAGCCGGTGCCCACGCTGGAGCAGAAGCTGGTGCTGGAGGCTTCGGAGGCTTCGGTGGAGCACATGCCGGAGCCCACGCTGGAGCAGAAGCTGGTGCTGGAGGTCATGGAGGCTTCGGCGGGGCACATGCCGGAGCCCATGCCGACGCTGGAGCATCCACATTCTCGCATTACGGCAAACGCTCCGTAGATTCAGACTCAGACAAAGAGATCGTCCACGTGAGCAAGAGGTTTGCTCCGTACGGTGGAGCCTCAGCCGGTGCCCACGCTGGGGCAGAAGCTGGTGCTGGAGGTTTCGGAGGATTCGGCGGAGCACATGCCGGGGCCCATGCTGGAGCTGAAGCTGGTGCTGGAGGTCATGGAGGCTTCGGGGGGGCACATGCCGGAGCCCATGCCGACGCCGGTGCATCCACATATTCGCATTACGGCAAACGCTCAGTAGATTCAGACTCAGACAAAGAGAACGAAGGTCAAATCATCCACGTGCAAAAGCGAGGCGTGGCACACGCTGGTGCTCATGCCCAAGCCAGTGCGAGTGCAGGAGCCCAGGGACATGGAGGCGGGTACGGTGGTGCCGGAGCTCATGCAAGCAGTCACGCTGGTGCTTCATCGCACGTCGGGCACCACCACGGCAAGAGGTTTGCTCCGTACGGCGGTGCTGGCGCCGGGGCCCACGCTGAAGCGGGAGCAGACGCAGGAATTCACGGAGGATTTGGAGGGGGCTTTGGAGAGGCCCACGCTGGAGCAGAAGCCGGTGCTGAAGGTTACGACGGCTTCGGCGGAGGACATGCCGGTGCTCATGCTGGAGCAGAAGCTGGTGCCGGAGGTCATGGAGGCTTCGGCGGAGGACATGCCGGTGCGCATGCTGGAGCAGACGCTGGTGCTGGAGGGTTCGGAGGCTTCGGCGAAGGACATGCCGGTGCCCATGCCGGAGCAGAAGCTGGCGCAGGAGGTCATGGAGGCTTCGGCGGAGGACATGCTGATGCCCATGCTGGAGCCGAGGCTGGCGCAGGATATGGAGGTCACGGAGGAGGTCACGGAGGAGGTCACGGAGGAGGTCACGGAGGAGGTTACGGAGAAGCAGGCGCACATGCCAGCGGCCATGCCGAGGGCGGATACCATGGAGGATACGACCACCACCATCATCATCACCACCATCACCATGGAAAGAGATTTGCTCCGTATGGTGGAGCCGCAGCCGGTGCTCATGCTGGAGCAGAAGCTGGTGCTGGAGGTTTCGGAGGCTTCGGCGGAGGACATGCCGGTGCCCATGCTGGAGCAGAAGCTGGTGCCGTAGGTATGGAGGCTACGGCGGAGGCATGCCGGGCCATGCTGGGCAGAGCTGTGTGGAGGTTTCGGAGGCTTCGGCGGAGGACATGCGGGTGCCCATGCTGGAGCAGAAGCTGGTGCCTAGGTCATGGAGGCTTGCGGCGGAGGACAATGCCGGTGCCCATGCTGGAGCAGACGCTGGTGCTGGAGGTTTCGGAGGCTTCGGCGGAGGACATGCCGGTGCCCATGCCTGGAGCAGAAAGCTGGTGCCCGTAGGTCATGGAGGCTTCGGGGAGGACATGCCGGTCCCATGCTGGAGCAGACGCTGGTGCTGGAGGTTGGAGGATTCGGCGGAGGAATGCGGTGGCCCATAGCTGGAGCAGAGCTGGTGCTGGAGGTCATGGAGGCTTCGGCGGAGGACATGCCGGTGCCCATCGTGGAAGCAGACGCTGGTGCGTGGAGGTTTCGGAGGCTTCGGCGGAGGACATGCGGTGCCCATGCTGGAGCAGAAGCTGGTGCGGGAGGTTTGGAGGTTCGGGCGGGAGGACATGCCGTGCATCTGAATGCTGGAGCAAGCTGGTGCTGGAGGATTGCTGTGGAGGCTTCGCGTGGAGCCATGCCGGCGCTCATGCTGAACGCAGGAGCATCCACATACTCGCATTACCGGCAAACGCTCCGTAGATTCAAGACTCAGACAAGAGATGTCACGTGAGCAGAAGGTTTGCTCCGTATGGTGGAGCCTCGCCGGTGCCCACGCTGGGGAGAAGCTGGTGCTGGAGGTTTTCGGAGGATTCGCGGAGCCATGCCGGTCCATAGCTGGAGCAGAACTGGTGCTGGAGTATGGAGGCTTCGGCGGGGCATGCGCGCCATGCGACGCTGGAGCATCACATTCTCGCATTATGGAAACGCTCAGTGTCCTGAGAATATGAGACAACAAAGGGTGGGAGCAGCACGCTCGGTGTTTGTTGGCAAAGGCAACAGCATCCGCCAACGCTCGTGGTTTGGGAGGTTTGGAGGCGGATGGAGTGGTGCCAATGCGCTGCCAACGCCAAATGCGGAAGGGGTTTGGGGGTTAGGCGGTGCTTGGTCATGCCTGGGCCAATGCTGCTGCCGAAGCATTGAGTGGTGCTGTCTGGGTGGGTACGGAGGTGCTTTGCTAACGCTGCGCTGACGGCAATTGCTGGAGGTGGTTTGGTCATGGATTCGGGGGAGCTATGCCTGCCCGCAATGCTGCATGCAAATGCTTTGAGGATTTAGGTTGGTTGGGTGGCGCAATGTGCTGCCACGCTGCAGCCATGCTGGAAGCGGATGGCTGGTGGTTTTGGAGGTGCATCTGCTAAGCGCTGCTGACGCATGTGGTGGAGGTAGGTTTTGGGTCATGATTCGGGGGCTAATTGCTGCGCAAATGCTGCGGCAAACGCGTGGGTGTTTAGGTGGTTGGGTGTGCGCCAATGCTTTTTAAACGAAATGAGGCATTGCAAATACTCTGCAGTTTCCGAGTTCTGATGGGAGATGTTGCTAATAAATATTAACAAGTAAATCAATGGTATTTCTAGTTTCCTTGAATGTATGTCAACCTCTTTTCGTGGTAATAATACGTCGGTAAGTAAGGCGATAGGTTTTTCATAGGACCCATGGGGGCGGCGAGTGCTGCTGTGCGTGCGGAGAGGGGGGCGTCTGAGCGCTCCGGCAGCGTTCCCCGCCCCTCCAGCGCCAACCCTATGTGGTGATGGAACGGGTTGTACGTTCCAGGGCGCATGTAATTCGCAATAATACAAACCTTCGGAGCTATATCCATTCCATGAACAAAGGGGGATGCTCCAAAACTAACGTGACGCGAGAGGTCCAACAGCGAAGAGACGCAATGATAAATTGTGCCAGATGTGTTTGCAGGTGGATTAGCTGAGAGAGGAAAGCGATGTTGAGGCGGGGAAGGGTGTGTCGGATTCTGCTTGGGAGTCTGTGGTGAAATGCTTTCATTTGGATCTGATCGTCAGTTTGAGAATGACAGGATCGTGGTGCTGGAGTGGGCCACTTTAGACGATGTGGCAAAGAATGAAGATTTGACATCAGCTTGCCGTTCTCAGGAACGTAGTGTCGTGTGACTCTTGTTAATCGTGATGGGTCTGCGGACCTAATATTTCGCGGTAGAATAGTGTATGAAAGTGAAATGGGTAGAATTGTAAGGTAGGGAGGGCAGGAGGATGACATGTAGTTTTAATCAAGAGAGCATGATTATATTACGCAAATTTGTAGTAGAAATACCATTTATTTAGGGTATGGTAAAATAATGCATAAGAGGGAACTGGCATACACATGAGTTGTACAAATATTAAATAACGGAAATGATGAAAAATGTCCAACTCAAACATGAAGTGGTTTTTCTTTATGTACATTGACCTAATAGCATAGTTTCCAAATAGAGTTATGGTGAATTTAAAAATTTTACATAAATTGATAAATGCTTCTTAATAAAGGAGTCATCATAGGTCAATTGTTTGAAAGTTAATTATAAAACAAATTCTTCTTCTTTCGTACATTATGATCGGGTTTGGAAGTGTTTGTTCTGTGACCGTTATTGCGAAACGTTTGGGCGCACCATGGCTTGTTGCTCTTTCTCTGCTTTTTTGGCACTCGTTGTTTTGAATTGGCCTCTGTTTTTTGCAGCTGGGTCGCCGCGGATGCTGTACGAGGGCTCCTTAGGCTCGGGATAGCGCTTTTGCCGGTTGCCGGCTCCTTGTTGCGCCACCAGCGCGCGGAGCGGCGAGGCCTGGGAAAGGGCAGCGTCCACGCGTTTTGGCTCCTCACTTCTTTTTGGGCTTTCGTTTCTGTTCTGGTGAAACTTTGGTCCTCCTGGCGTTAATTTTATAAGACTGTAAGCGTGTTTTCAATTTGGCTACTATCTGTTTTGTTTCTTTCTCTACGCGCTTTTTGGCCGCCTATTTGCATATTTTTGAGGGTATCCATCGCCGGTTCTTATATTTTACCACTACAGCTTAGTGTTACATCTAGTTATGCCTATATGTACTATCAGTGGTAATTTCTGCTGTTCGAATCTCTATAAAATTGGATTCGTTTCTTGTGGCATTTACGTTTCTTCAGGGTTTAGATTGTGTGGTTGATAGATCCCAGTGTAATTTTCTGATTCGTACCTAAAAATTATTTTTCGATTCTCCTCGCATCCAATGTTCCTCCCTGGAGGCGTTCGTCCTTGGGGCCTCGCCTTTCATTTCCGGCCTTTCCATAAACATGAAATTTGGAAGCGGGCGCGCCCGACGGGGCCGGCGTCCAGCTCATCCGGAGTGGGAGTCGAGGCCCGGCACCGCCCGCCTTGAAGGCGCTGGCTGCGCGGGCGAACGCATCGTCCGATGGCTGCGCGCGAAGGAGACAGAGCGCCTGGCGATCGCGGCGTTTTGTTAGAGATGTGGAGCGCTCTTCATTAGCAGTTTCTTCTACATTGTGCACTATAGGCCGATCGTACGGCATACAAAATTAACAGAAGGCCTGGCTGTTTGAAGCCCCTCGAGTTTCAACCAGCCTTGCTTCACGTCTGCACTTAGCTTTTTTTATTTTATTTTTTTATTATTTTTTCCCTGGCAGGGCCTTGGAAAACGATGTCATTTTCCGCTCATTTTCTTACATCCTTTTTAACGACTCCCGTCGGCGTAGTCACCGTCGCTCTCTCTTTTTCTTTTCGCGTCATCACTCTCCGCTTTTATATCGTCACCTGCACTGACAATAATCACTTTCGTCTCCGTGGTCTTCCTTGTAAAAATTAATTCTTTCCTTTCATCTACGTTGAGTTGCTGAGAATAGTTCGTCACGCGATCCGAGTTCTTGCTCGTTCAGTCTGAACCGAATTGTTCTCACGAAGGAACCTCCTCGCATCCTGTGTCCCGCTTTCGAATTCCTTATTTTTGAAGTCATAGGCCGACAAAGGTGGCTAGGGCATCGATTATGTCATGAGGAGCCTCTGACCGAAGACATTAGGTTGAGTCCGCACGGAATAAACGGGCCACGGACCGCGTGGATATTTCCTTCTCTTCTTTGTCTTCGCTCGCCCTTTCAAGCGCTAGACCTTCCATGCTTCCAAGACCGGGGGGGATAGTCGGAAGGTTTCGGTTGGTACCGGGTGAGAGCGGTGCACGCTGGATACTTGCTTGGGGAAATCCCCCTCGAAATCGTAGCACCGGGAGAAGATAGCTCATTTCATGCGATAAACCTGCACTAATCTTACGGGACCTATCACTTGCAGTTGACGCACCCGGGGAAATCACTCTTAAATATCATAGTTATATCATTCTTGCCGCTTCTACTGCCCATCGTTTCGTTTTCACTACGTTTCTGTTCCCCGCCCATCTGCTCTCCTCAAAGCGGCAGCTCTGTAATACTTCCGTGGGAGTTGCACCGCTCTCCACAGGGCCTAGATTAGTCTCTCCCCGCCCCCCCCCCCGATCGCGACGTGCGCGAAGCCTGCCCGGGCTGCGGTCTGTTACCCTTATAGCGGAACTCGTCCCACCCACCCACCCGCCGCGCGCCGGCTGCGCCGCCGCGCCGGCCGCCAAGGCGGAGAGGCGCCAAGCAAGACAAACTAACATTGACAATTAATTACGGCTGGGGGGCTGCCGCGCGCGGGTGGGGTGCGCTGCGTGGGCTGCGGCCAAGTGTGCAAAAGACACCTTCAACCAAGTGAAAGAGAGATGTATTACTTGACGGTCTTGAGAGGCATACTCTTTGGGATAAGAGGATTATTAGTGGGTCAGGAAATAGAACGGGCTTTTCTGAATTGGCTGTAACGGCGAATGGCTAAATGCGGATGTCCTGCTTGAGAGTTGCGATTGTGCCACTGGCTTTCGCCTGCCTCATGGCTTGCTCTTTAAGACGTTTAATGAAATTTTCTGCAAATTGATATTAGAAAGGAAGTAATCAAATGTAGAAAATGCAAACGCCTAGTTTTAATAATCTTCTCTGAAAATAATGATGTAAATACATGTCTGGGGCGAGGATGAGTGGTAAAATACGTGTGAACTGTAAAAGCATAGAAATTGGAAAGTGAGCATTTAAAAGCTTCTTATTTTCTATTACAAGTATGGCCTTCCGCAGGTATTTGCATGTAAAATGTGTGATATCAAGTTTATGACGAAGAAGAAAATTGAAATATCACTACTGAAGTTTACTGGCTGGTTCATGTTTGGACATGCAGTGTTACATGAAACTATCCATAGAACTATTTTCTTAAGTGTTTCCTTAAAAATCGTTTTAGATGTTAACCCTCTCCCCAAGCTTTTGTGGCGTGTCCCCTAAAAGATGCTTAGCCCACACAAGAGCACACATTCATCGCATTATTAATAAGTTTCGCATTTTTGAAAATTCGTAAGTTAACACAGATGCGTTCTTCAACTGGGTCACCTAAAGCACCTGCGGACTTCTTGAGTCTTTCCGATTGCTATTCCCAATTGATCCGATGTAGTTCTGTTGTTTTTCTATTGGGATTCTTTTTAAATTATACGCAGAGCTGTTTTGATTCACTCTCCGTTACACGCGTTGGCGGTGGGGGTGTTCGAAGGCCGGCTTGCGCGCGCTGGCCGGGAGGCGAAGTTGTTCGCCCACCCATTGAGAAAGTCTGCAAACGGTGTGCCATTAGCAAGGGAGACGAAGAATTTCGTAGCATAAGGAGTTTCACTGATTAGTGGCGACTGTGCAGAGAAA